CCAAACTTTAACAGCAAGATCAAAAATTTAAAGCTGACAAACAACCAGTGCTGAGGCAGCTGCTGGACGTTCAGTCCTCTTGGGTCCACTGTCCACATGCTGAAATGTCTTTATGCGAGACGCTGAAGCAGAAGTTAGTCCCAGTGGCATCCCGACATCAGTGTAGGTGTATGAATGGGCGAATCAGGAACACAGTGTTCAGTGCTTTTGAACCGCTAAGGTAATAAAATGTGGTGTGTGTACGTGCAGACCATTTAGTATTTCCTATTCCGTTGAGCACTGAAACGCGTACACAGTATTACTCCGTCAGAAAGGCATTAATGCAGCTTTGATTTGTCAGACGGAAACAAAATTAGAAATAAACCGAAGAAGCGGAAAACGTACCAAAGATAAAGTTGTGTTTCATGTTAATGTTATGTGTGCGAGTGCGGGCGTTATTTAATCAGCAGCCAGTGGAGAAATATTAATCATGGGCTGTTAGCGGGAGCCACAGAAAACAGCAGTTGGCAGTAAAAAAAGCCTGATGCTGCTCGAGTCACATTTGACTTCTCATTACAGTACTGGAAAATAATTGAATTCTGATATTTAATTAGACAAGTGCTTGCAAGCACTCTAAACTCATCAGCCCATAAAAGAAGTGCTTTCCTGCGAGTCTGACTGGATTTAAATAGAGGTTGTTATCTGGGAAAGTGTTTTGAGTTTACATTGAGTAGTCGTCACTTGCGCAGCCACATCAAGCTGGAACAACGAGGTGATGGTATAGCATTCAATAATGGATTCTTACAGGTCATTTATAAAGCTAAAATACATGTTTTATATCATTTTATATTGAACATCTTTGGGTTTGCAAATAACGACAATTTGCAGATGTTATTTAAGCTTCTAAAGAAGACAATGGGCTTTTTTCACTGTGAAGAAATAATGTCAAAAGATTTATCAATAAATAAATGAGCATTATTCTTACATGTTATGCCTTCTTCCCTACATATCCCTTCTCTCTCTACTGCACTACTGATATATATATATAAACTAAGGTAAATGCCAGAAAATATAACGTGCATTGATTAACTCATCATGAAACTTTATCATCTAAAGTGCATTTACATTCACTTTAGCCGACTCACCAGATGTAGACTTCTGCATAAAACCATGATTTACCCTTCATCTGTCGGCGTCTCACCATTTCCAAAATCCACAATAATCTAAGAGCAGCAATTTACATCCTGAAAATAGCAAGTTTTGCGAAGGATTTGGATAATTTTTCAATGACTTGGCCATTTTAAATGACAGCGCTCGACTTCCTGCTTGCAAATGTTGCACCAAACAAATTCCATCCTTCACTGTTTTGCAGGGACACCGTCACTACATCCTGGGCTTAGCATCACGCAAGATAATTGTGATTGGTTCAATGACAGTATGGGTGTTCTTTGACTCCTGTCGCACTTTTCCTCATTGTGGACTCATTTTTAACTGCAATATAAAGTTCTGCACTTCTATGGAAACAGAACAGCCATGACTAGAAGCATAGCAAACTCAGAAATGTCTTTTTTTTTTTTTTTTTTAAACAATATGACACAGTTAGAATGTCATGAATCCTAAAAAAGAAAAAAGGAAGTTGAATTAATCTGATTACTTACATTACAAATGGGGCTGCAGGGTGGAGCGGTGGTTAGCACCGTTGCCTCGTAGCTAGCAGGTCAAGGGTTCACATCCTGGTGAGGACGTCCAGGATCTTTCTGCGTGGAGTTTGCACGTTCTCCCCATGCAGCGTGGGTTCTCTCTGGGTTCTCCAGCTTCCTCCCACAAGGTCCAAAAACATGTTGAGGTTAATTGGTGATTCTAAATCGTCCGTAGGTGTGAATTTGAGTGTGCTTGGTTGTCTGTCTCTAAGTGTAGCCCTGTGATAGACTGGTGACCTGTCCAGGGTGTCCCCTGCCTTCACCCTGAGTCAGCTGGGATAGACTCCAGCCCTCCATGATTAAGCGGTGTATAGATGATGGATGGATATTACAAATGTTAAAAAAGCCTGGAATCAACCCATGCAACATTTTTCCAAGTGCCCACGGGTTTTACCAGCACTTGAATTGTTCTTATTAGCATTCAGCCCATTATCATGTAGTAGATCTGCCAGTTCACTAGAGAATACCATGTGACTGATCTTTGGTCTCATCAGTAGGCATGAGAAGCATGTATGAACATTCCATAATTTATCATCACTGACTAGATGAGCATCTCTGTGCCTGTGGCTCAGGCGGTAGGCTGGGTCTTTTAAAACTGGTATAATTTAGCTTTTCATTTTTCTTAAATTTAGCTTGCGAGCAAGTCAGCACATGGTTACGATTCGGGGTTAGTTTTTGCAGAACACTAATTAGCCCACTTTCATTTAAATGGTGGGAAAACAGTTTAGTGTTGACACTCCTCACATGACCCACAGCCACTGACAATAAAGAAACAGCTCTTCTTTGCCTGGAGAGAACCTGTTTCATCACGCTAAGGCAAGGCAGAACGTGACACCGACACGGTATCCTCTGGTGGGTCTATTACACTCTTAGCTGGGGCTGCAGCGTTATGCAACAAGGTTTTCAAGGTTACATCACTGATTAAGCTTCTAAATGGAGACATTTCCTGCTGATTTTATTAGTTATTACCAAGACACACAAATCACTTTAATCAGGGCTAGTTTTTGCTGGATGTCGATTTTCCAAGCAGGCAGCACTTACATGTGTGTCTGAATGGCAAAGAGTGCTCATGTATGAATGTGTGTGTGTGTGTTTAATCGAGTGCAATAATGAAAGATGTGGATTCAGCGGCGTGTGAAGCCATCGATCTGTGGTTGTAGTGGTGACGGGGGCGGGAGAGGGCTCTAATGTGCATTGATCTGACGTTCGCGGCGCTCACAGCGATTGGATATTGATTTTCTGTAAGTATTGATGAGCAGGAAAAAAAAAACCTGGAGAGCGACGAGGCTCTCACGCACGCAGGACGTATAAATACGGCTGAAATTTACAGAGAGCGAGAGCGCGAAGGTGTGAGCTGCACATGTTGTGAATGTTTAGGAGATGGTGTTATTGGTTCGGGTGGTTGTCATGGCAACCCGCCTCACCTCTCAGTCACTGTTGCAGAAAAGCCCGAGGTGAACGCACACAAGAAATATGTACATACATATTCACAGTGTTTCCCTCCTTGCTGTCTGTCAGTCACACTTCTTCCTCGTTGCTTGGATTTCTACCTTTTCCACTCTTTTCTCTTCCTTCTCTCGTTTCTTCTTCTCTGGTTACTTTCCACTTGTTTATCTTCCTTGACCTGTTTCCATTCTTCTTCTTCCTCATACTCATCCATCTCCTCACTGCCGCTCAACCCTTTCTTATTCTCACTACTCTCCCGGGAGGATGGATCAATTTGTGACATGGTTGGAAATCACCACTGGAGGAGGATGCCTTGAAAGCAGAGTGTGTTTTGGAGATAAAGACAAAAGACGTAACCGTGATCTGTGCAGTATAGCAAAATACTGGAAGGAGTTACAACCTAAAAATACATTTCAATCCATCCAGGGTTCTGTCTTTGGCGTATTTTTTTTTCAAATATGGTTTCAGCAAGTCCTGTAAAGGCATAAGATCTACACTCTGCTGTATGTCTATATTAACAGAACGTCTTTATGGACTGTGATTCACTCGTATGTTTCCGTTTATTTACGCTTTTTAAAATTGCATTACTCTCAGCTCATATATGTGTTTTTAAGTCTTGGTTTCTGTTTATTTGTAAATGTCCTGAATTAACAAACATACTTTTTCAGATCCCTTTTATTTTAGTTCCGTATTATTGCAGAAATGTGAAAGATATATGAGTTGATAGAAATGTTTTTTTTTTTTATCACAGAATATCTGTTTGAAATTTCCTTGTATGAGACTTACTGTCATGGTACGGTGCGTCGTTAACTAACAACAGTTCAATTCAGTTTTATTGCTGTAGGTCTAAAACAGTCAAAAATGATCAATTACTTTATTATTTACAGTAAGTGAACCATAAATAAACAGGACGAAGTCTGGGTAATGAGCTCTGTCAGTACATTTCCTGTCGTTTTACTGATTTACTTAACATTTGTAGTTTTTATACTTTGTGGTACATGTACTCATACACCGTGTCTATGCCATAAAATAACAGAAAATGTCTTTTTTTTCACCCTAGATTACCAATGAGCAATAACAAAAGCACATTTTGTAAAAGAATCAGGATAAGATTGAACTTCTTTATCGTTGGCGCACCATTAAGTTGTAGAAAATGTAATTAAATTTACTATAGATAAACCATTAAGAAGCAGAAATGTTCTGTTTTCACTATAAACACGCCATTAAAACATAGAAAATTTCTAGTTTTGCCACAGTGAAATCACCATTAAAATACAGAAAACCTGGCTTTTTTAAAAAAATGTTTTTACTGTGAACACTGTTAATTAATCGAACATTTTTACTTGTGGTATTAAGCTGCCAGTACTTTTTCTGTTATTTGTCAGATTTATTTCATAGAGTGTAGATGTAAAACAGCTTAATATCTGTCTATGCATTGTGTTTCTTTCGCCTACTTGTTGTTTTTTATGTTTTAACCTCACATATGACCAGTGTCCACAAACAGTTCAGAAGTAATTGCCTGATCTGGATGCACTTTACGACGATGTAATTCTCATTTTAACCCTGAAAAAGAAACTTTAGGGTAGAAGCTATGATGTTACTTCGGTTATTTCTTCGTTCATTAAAAGGTCTTAAAATCACGGCTGCGGTACTTCACTAACGCTCTCTTCCTCTTCTTCTCTTTCCTGCCACAGTCGGTCACGGTCAGAGTGAAGGAGACAGGATGAACATCAAAGACTTCCAGGTTTACATCAGAGACTCCCTGCAGCACATCGATCTGATGAAATCCCGCCACCCCGACCTGCCTGTCTTCATCGTGGGCCACTCGATGGTAGGACGCTTTCTACCATCTGTTGCTGGAATAAGAGTTTCTGGTATTGTGAGCAGATGATATACGATTTGCGGTTTGTTTTGCTTTTAATCAATTCCATTTCAAATAATAGCTCCGGGTAAAGTGAAACACTCGCTCTTGTTCAGGTTTGTTTGGTGTGAAATTACATAATATGCTTGAGTTCCTGGTGAGGCGTACTTGACAGAGAGAGATGAGCTCTGTTTAAGCATCCAAATTAAAAGCACACAAATTCGAGACTTTTTCTGTGACATTCAAATGAGAAATCTTTTAGTTGCTGCTCCAAACTGAAAGAAATCTGCATAAGCTGGAATCACACAGGTTTTACTTTCACTATGTAGCTGGAATTATTTTCCAAAAAACACTGAGATATTTCAATTTCTTCTCTCTCTTTTCTTTGCTTTGTCTGATTCACAGCAACAGTTACAAACACTTGATCGTCTGCAGGGTTTGCTCAGTTTACTCTTCTCAATAAAACCCTGCTTACCTTTTGCACAGTGACACACATTCCCCCCCGTGCTGCCCTCAGCAGCTGCTACTGGTTACCGAAAGCCTCCAATAGAACAGTTACAGGTTCAGTGACCCGCTCAAGGGCGATGTTGCTGTATTTGTGGACGGACAGAAGACGGTGTGCTCACTTTCCCCTTTCCCCCACCAACCTTGGCAATCTATATAATGTAATCTTCCGCTGACCTTTTCTGTGAGCAATGACGTGTGATCATTTACACTTAATTTATTGAAAAAGTTCTCACAAGTAAAATGCAAAACACAGAATTCAGTGTCCTCACCTCCAGTATGTCCAGTTTTCTTCTGTGAGTAATCCTTAATTGCTTAGCCTGCAGCTGGGCTTTACCTGAAATCCCTTCATTATTCATGAATTATCTGATTATTTTTCAATCATAGGATTTCTTTTCAACCACAAGGGAATAACGTGACATTTTAGAAGCTGCGTTTATTCACTTACTGACAAAGGAAATCAATACCACCCTCGTCTTTATTGTTAAATACGAAGCTACAACCAGCAGCAGGTTAACTTTGTATGAAAAGAAAAACGCAGCCTTGTTCTGGCTTTATTCAAATCTCACAGTAGAACACCTTCTTCAACACTTTTGGTCACACTCCTGTCTAAGTTGCTGGGCGTCAGTTACAAAGTGGAGACTAGAGGCTTCTTTCTCTTTCGTTTACAGAAGACAGGTAAAAAGCAGTCCATCCAGCTTTCTTCTATTTATCTGGGGTTGGGTTGCTGTGGCAGCAGGCTAAGCAGGTCATTCCAGAAATTCCTCTTCCCAACAATGTTTTCCAGTTCCTCCTGGGGAAACCCAAGGTGTTGCCAGGCCAGATTAGCTGAGTAATCCCTCCAGTGAGTTCTGGGTTTACCCCTGCTTCCAGTTTGACCTGTTTAGAAAACCTTCAAAGGAAGGCGCCCAGGAGGCATCTTAATCTGATGCTGGAACCACCTCAACTGAGTCCTTTCGACCGGATGGAGCTTGAATGTCAGAGATCCACACCTATCTCTAAGGCTAAACTCAGCCACCCTGTTTTTTTTGACAGCTTGTATCTAAGATCTCATTCTTTCGGTCACTTCCCAGAGCTCGTGACAACAGGTCAGGGCTGGAATGCAGATCAACTGGTAAATAGACACCTTTTGCCGTCAGGCTCAGCTCCCTCTTCACCTCTA